GCACATTACATCTGCTACAGAGCCCTATGCATACTAAGTAGCCCATCAGGTTGGAGCGGAGCCCTGTCTGTTATGGTTGGAGATAGAACACTTCAGATTGGTAGCACAGAAAGTGTGTAGGCGTGCTTTTGAGAAGCAAAACAAGGTTGCTTGGGAACATTTGGTACGCTTCATGTTTTTGTCAACGAGGGGTACTACAGCGTATTGAGTCATCATACAAAGAAAATACTGTCCTATAATGGAGACATCTTAATGCAGAAGCAGAGAAAATGGGAAAGTAAGGATTGCATGAAAGATCAAATGCATTCATGAACATCCAATGTGCATAATGACTGACAGCATTGTAGCATCCACAACTTGTGTATTGTCCATACTATGTTATGACATGTTTATCAAACAATACAAAGATCACCAGTACAAAGTTTTTATTACTATCCACTATTTTTTTTTTTTTTTGAGGGGAATATATACTGTATCTCACTAGTGAGTACACCCCCCACATTTGATCAAACATTTTATCTACTCAAACTTTAGAGCAGGGGTTCTCAACTCCAGTTCTCGTGACCCACTGCTCTGCATATTGTGTCCCTTATTTAACACACCTGATTCAGATCCTCAGAGCTGAGGATCTGAATCAGGTGCGTTAAGGGAGACAGATACACAATATGCCGAGCAGTGGGTCGCGAGGACTGGAGTTGAGAACCCCTGCTTTAGAGTAGTCAATGTGCAGCTTGTATAGCAGTATATATTTACTGTCCTCTGAAAACAACTCAACATACAGCAAAATATCTGGCAACAAAAGTGAGTACACCCTAAGTGATAATAGCTGTTTGTCCTATTCATCATGTTAATGTTTTTGTCTGCTTGACAGAACCATACAAATTGTTGTATCTTATACTGATACTGTATTAAAGCAGCTTAAATTTGTGCTTTGAGTTAAATTCTCTCATACTGCCCACTGGATGTTCAAGATGGCACCTCATGGCAAATAACTGTAAGGAATTGAGAATTAGAATTGTTGCCCTCCACAAAGATTGCAGTGGCAGCTGGTGAAAAATATTGTAGGGGGTGGGGCTGAATAAGAGGGGGGTCTGGGGGGTCTGGGGGTTCCCCCCCCCCCCCCGAGAAAATGTTGAATTTAGTAGATGTGATTTCCTGCATTCTGGTGCATTTGAGGCCTTAGGCCATGCCCTTACCTATACCAATAAAATAACTTAAACCAGTCAATACCAATGGTCAAATAATACAATAATAATAATAACAGTTTGACAGTTAATGATAATGAACAAGTTGCATGTTTATTATGCTCTGTGTGCTGACAGAAAAAGTGCAAACGCATAATATTGATAAATTATAATATAGGTAATACAAAAAATAATAGGTAATACAACAATCTAGTTTAATCAATCCCCAGCTGTAGACTACATATTTTTGACAAATTGACAATTGGATAATGGATAACAATGTGTTGATACTAGAGAAAGAGAGAGAGAAAAGGCTCTGAAAGAGAGGGTGGGACAACATTCTTGAGGGTAACACCCAAGTATGAGAAGAAAGTTGATTTTAACTAGTATGAAACACAGTAATCTAGCTCAGAACTTAAAAACATCAAAAAAACAAAGCAAACACACAGGTATTAATATTCCTATAACTATTTTAATATCAAATGTGTGTGAAACAGTGTTTATGTGTGTGTGAGTGAGTGAGTGACAGAGACAGACAATGAAGCTAATTGAATTCAGATAGCGTGAGTGTGTTTCAGAGCAAGAGAATGACAGCGAGTGTGTTTGTGTGTGAGAGCTTAAGAGAATGACAGCAAGTGTGTGTGTGTGTGTGTGTGTGAGTGAGTGAGTGAGAGAATGAGTATGACAGGGGCTACGTTCACACTGCAGGGCTTAATGCTCAATTCCGATTTTTTGAAAAATTTCGATTTTTTTTTTGCAATGCCGTTCACATTTCCAATTAAATGCGACCTTGTGATCTCCTGTGTGAACGTGAAATGACCCAGAAGTGACCCGCATGCGCAGAAGAGTAATCAACGGTCAACGACGTCACTTATTGTTTGGGTTGTTTGCGGAATAGTTCTTTTTTCCATATGTTGCGAGCTTTTGTTTTATTATTATTATTGCCAAGGCCCATATACAAAGACAGACAATAATTATTTTATCGACGGGCAAAGTTTGCACATAAATGTAAGATTTTTCCGATCCTCACCGACCTCGTCATAAATGAAGTTTTATTAACTAAGTTCGGGAGGAGCACGTTCAGATAATTGACACGAGTGGACAGCAATCAGCAATCAGCAGTCAATGATAAGAGGGTATAAATAGACTCAGCAGTCTTACCTCGATCCATTGGCAGCATCCCTCCTCCACCCCTTCTCCATACTCCTAGTTCTCCACACTCCTCTTTCTAAAAATCACTTGTATACGAATCCGACGAGCGTTCTGTGTAGGCTGCCATCTTGTGGCGACGCCATTACTGAGCTGTTAACACCGGCATAGACATGTGCACCGGTATGTAAACAAACCTCGGTGATAACGCGAAAGCACCCTCGATGACAGCTACAGCCAGGCAGAATGACTTGTTGGGTTGACGATGTTAGACAGCGGCCTCCAGTCACAGATGAAGGTACAAATGATCTTACAGATTATTTATGAAAATAGCTTGGCAAGTTGGCAAGCTAGCTAGGCTAACGTTTGCTAATGAGGAAACTATAAAAAAGATCTGTCCATTTGGCAACAATAAATAAATAAATAAATGATTGAAATCAAATAAACAAATTCATGTTTTTAATTTGTGTCCATTATTTATCTCATTTTCAAATTGCATCAGGCAAGGGTAAGGTAACGTTACAGCTAGAAAGTATACACAATATCGACCAATTTGTGTTTTTAAACCATGGAAAGAGGTCAGTTTAACAGCAAGAGAACAATTATGTCACATAACGTTACATTTAGCTCAGGAAAGCCATTTAATGACCATAGAATGTTAATTGAATAGAAAAAATAGCAAGAGAGGAGATTTTGCTGATCACTATATCACATATTATTTTTTTACATATGTCATTAAATAATTGTTATTATACGCGAATGTCCGCGTCTTGTACTCGCCCAGGAAATCTATGTAAACCGTACGGCACCAGACAGGGGCAGTCCACCCGGGGTATTCACAATTTTTTCTCTTCAAAATTGAAATTTTACTGCCACCATTGAAACAATTTATAACGGAAACTGTTTACCCACTCGACATTATACAAGGGGTAACGTTGCAACGTTAGTGACAGTCGTAAATCGCGGGCTGTTTATTCCAGTGGATGCAAGTTGCAACTAAAACAATAGGAGGCAATGGCGCAACGCTACCCAGCAACAGCTCAGTAATGGCGCCCGCTTACTTCCGGTAGTTTCGCCGGATTCGTCTATACGGGGGGAGTACTCTGGGTTCGGGCAGAATTCCGAGCTCGGAGCCCTCCCTCTGGACAGCACGCCAAATACGCATTGAATCTTACTCACTCAAAATTATATAAGTGTGAACTCGTAAAAAACCCCGTTTAATTGATAGTGCGTGTCCTCGGCGCTCCTTGCTTTGTCACCGGCGGCCGCGGTGCGACACTGGTGGCTGGTGTTGCCAGATTGGGTGTTTTTTCCACTACATTTTAAGCCATGTTTACATGTGTTTTAGCCAGGTTTTCGCCTGGAAGGCTCTATAGAAATCTGGCACCCTACTGTACGAAGTTATACTGACAGAGAGCACACGTTCACAGACACCAGAATGAACGTATTCACAGTAATGTTCATCAGGCGGTAATGCAGTATGTTTATTTTGGGCGAACGTGAACTGTCACGTTCGCCCAAAATATGAACGCGTTCATGCACAACACTGGGGAAGAGACGCGTCTGCAGTGGCCCATAACAGTGCAGAAACGCGTTGGAGTTAGCTTGCGTGCAATGACGTGCGGGTCGGATATATGTGACCTGGCCGTTCAGATTGAAGTCGCATTTCAAAAGATCGGATACATATCGGATTTGGACCACATACCGAAGTGGCCTGGGTCGCATTTGAAAAGATCGGATCTGTGTCGTTCAGACTGTCATGAAAAAATCAGATACAGGTCGCATAGGGGCAAAAAAATCGGAATTAGGTCCTTTCAGCCTGCAGTGTGAACGTAGCCAGGGTGTGTGTGTGTGTGTGAGAGAGAGTGACAGAGAGTAAGAGAATGACCGCGTGTGTGTGAGTGAGAGTGAGTAAGAGAATGACCACATATGTGTGTTTGAGAGTGATAGAGGTAAGAGAATGACCGTGTGTGTGTGTGTGTGTGTGTGTGTGTGAGAGAGAGAGAGAGAGAGTGATAGAGATAAGTGTGTGTGGTTCAAAATGAGTGAGTTGGAGAGATAGATGGAGGGCGAGTGTGTGTGAGAGAGAGGAAGACAGAGTAAAGGATTAGGGAGACTAAGGTATGGTGTCTGTGACAGTTAGATTTGTGTGAATGAGAGAGGTAGATGGAGTGAATGTGTGAGTGAGTGCGGGGGTGAGTGAGTTAAAAGGGATGGGGAACTCTTATTTGTACAGGAACTTTGCTCGTCTATCTTTCTGAGTGGCAAATCTCTCAATGACCCTTGTGTTGAAATCTGGAATGTCCCGTGTGAGTTTTTTTCTCTATAGAGAGCATAGCCAGAGCGTTGAGGCGATCTTGTGCCATAGTGTTCCTGAGGAAAGTTTTTATCCTCTTTAAAGTTGAGAAGCACCTCTCTGATTCTGCAGTTGTCATTGGTGTGGTGATGAGGATCTTGAGAAGACTTACAGTTTCAGTGAATGTGTCTTGAAGGTTATTTTCCATTAGAACCTGAAAGAGAGCCAGTGCACCACTGCAACCCTGGAAGTCCTCATTTTTGTAGATTAGGGACAGTTCTGTTTTAAGTCTAGCTTTGTCCAACATGGGGTAGGCATCCACTGTGGTTTGTAGTGCTGAATCTGGGAATTTTCTGCTGTGTTGGGGGAACAAGTCTCCTTGCAAGAGAGTGGCGCTGATGAGATGCTTGGTGAAAGAAAACCTCTCCTTGGCATGGCTCATAATGGTATCACATACCTATGAAATGATGCATAATAGTAGAAAAGTAAACATAGAAAACATGAAGTTTTCACATTTCTCATTTCAACAGTACAATAAAATCAGCATTTTATAGCAGTTACAATTTTGTTATGAGCAAGTAAATTTTATTAATTATAATTCACTATCATACAAGTATCATTTTCTTACACACGCACACACACACACACACACACACACACACACACAATCTCAATAAGCTTTATTGGCTATCTGTCACTCTCTCTCACTCGCACCATAATTATCAAATGCATAAATGTGAAAAAAATATCTTAATTTCTGCATTCTCCAGTAGATAGATATGTCTCTAATAATGACAATTCAGAATACAAAAATGTGCAAACAAACTCAAATACATATAGGTTAATAGAATACAGAAATAGAATTTTTGTTACTGCTTACCTCTATTGCCAGATGCTGTTGCGTTTCTTCTCCCATTGCCCTCCGTTTCTTCGGGGGTGGTTCCTGTACAGGTCCCCTATACCCCTCATCCTCAACTAGAGAAGGAACGGAGTCCCTGATCCAAAACAAGTTTCACAAGTCACTGTCCACCCTGAAATTACTGTATCAGAAACTAACTTGCTGGAGATAGAAAGATAATTGTAATAAAACTGTATTTTAATATGTGCAATTATTGTGTTGGGCCTAGTCAATGTTATCTAAATTCATCTAGTTCTAACATGGTGGCAAAATTATGATATTTATAATGAGTTCTATTGTACTCAGCTATATGGTTTTATGTTTTTTATTGTTAAGGCTAATATGCCCAATCATAGCCTACCTGATAGCCTGGATGCTGTGAGTGAACCTCTGGGTGATTGTCATATGGAGAGACTATGGTCTATTTTATTTTGTTTGTGTATTTGGCATGTTTGTTTTCTTTTTGATTTGGTTTTCTTTTGTGATCGTTGTTTTATTATGCATGTTTTCTTTTTGTGATACTTGATCATTATTTAGGGTGTGGGGTAACGCCCCCGTAGTTTTTGGAAGCCTAGATCACAGCTGATTAGATGGACAGCTGTTGGTAATTGCCATGTCGAATTACAGACGCTTTAAAAAGGCGAAGAAACTGACAAACAGTGAGCCTGTGACCCGTGAACTCTGTTGTGCAGCCCTGTTCTCCACGTTCTTTTATGACCAGACGTAGTCGCGATTGCTTTTATTTGTTTTATTCTCCTGACTGTAGTATGAACCATTGTCTGCTCGCGTTGAAGTGACGGTCCGGCTGTTGATTTGGTGGCTGCTGGATTTTGTTTGTCTCTACTGTGCTGGATTTCCTCTATTCTCTGCTGTGCTGGATTCATCTGTTCGTTGTTGGACTGGAATTCGTCTGTCTCTACTGTGCTGGATCTCCTCTATTCTCTGCTGCGCTGGATTCGTCCGTTCTTTGCTGGACTGGATTTCCCCTGTCTTCGCTTGCTGGATTTGGCTGTTCCCTGCCGTGCTGGAGTTCGTCTGCCTCTGCTGTGCTGGATTTCCTCTGCTCTCGGCCGTTCTGGACTGCTGTCTCTCTCTGCTGGGGTCGCTGTTGGTCGCGCTGAATTGAGCATTGTCCAACAAGACTGGGAGCTAGATGCGTCTACTCCCAGTTTATTGGTGAGTGACGTCCTGTTAAATTATATGCCTTGCCTCGTCCGGAATTAATATCCACGCCGCAACTAAACTAAAGTGTTCCAGTATTGCTGTAGTTTTACCACTATTGTTTAATGCGTATTCACGAATTGTAGTGATTTAATTGAGTGTGCACGATTAATATTATTCCTATCGTGGTGTGGTGTTTATGCTGTGTTTCCTTACTGTGGAGATACTGGCGGCTCTTTTTTTCTGTTGTGTGATTGATGTGCTGATGCGCGTGAGTGAGTGACAGGTGGGCTGCTGTGTAGACGCTGCTGTGTGGTGCCAGACGGACTTGGTTAGAGGGACGCTCGCGGACTGTGGGTGCTTATGGACTTCCAGCGAACTGTATCTTCCCGTTGCGTTGTCCAGCTTTTTAAAGTCAATTGAGAGTGCACAGTGTGCCCTTTCTTTTTATTATTGAAACAAGGTTGTAATAAAAACATTTCTATTCAAACTGCTGTCCGGGTAATCCTGTTGTGTTGCTCCCACCAAACTAAAAGAACTTGAAAGCCAGGGTGTTTAAATTAATAGAGTCCCAGCTCTTCAATTGGGTGGCGTAGTCGGGCTACATTGTCTGCTCACATTTGGCAGTAGTCGGCAGGGTTTGGTTTGGAGCTTCACATACAGGTTATCTTAATTGCATAGTAGTTATAATTTTTACATAAATATATATATATATATATTTTTAATATGATGATGATGCCAATTTATGCGGGTGCACCTTGGATCCCCAAATTTAAAGGTGTAGGGGGTGATTTAAAATTTGGTGAGTGGAAAGAACAAATTCAGAGTTTGTTGCAGGCACGGGAGTTTAATGAACAGCAAAAAGTCAGCATACTGTTGGGGGCATTAACAGATGAAGCTAAGCGGGAGGTTTGTGTTCTGGGGGATACCGAACGCAATACTGTAGCAAAATTTTTTAGCTATTTAGAGACCCTGTACGGAGATCAGGTCCCTGTGGCAAATTTGAGATTACATTTTTTTAGCTGTACACAAACTGCCAGTGAAAGTTTAAGAACTTATGTTCTCAGGCTGCGGGAATTATTCTGTAGATTAAGGAAGCGAGACCCAGATGGCCCTCTTGATGAAAGTCACCTGCTGGACCAGCTCTTGATGGGACTCCGTAATACAGAACTGAGGAGCACCATCAGAACTTATGCACGCCGTAACCCAGATGCCACTTTCAACACTGTATTGGAGGAGGTCCTGTTGCTGGAAAGTGAACAGCGGCCTGGGGCTGGGCATGAAATTGTAGCACAAGCTGTGGGTGAGTCCTCTGTTCTTAAATCACAAACAGGGAAGGATGACTGGGCTGAGGCGTTTCGGCGGGAGCTTCTCCAGGAGGTGAGGGGGCAGATGAATGCATTAAGACGAGAAATGACCCAGCAGTTACAACCCGCTGCAAGTGAGCCTCCACGATCCTCACAATTCCCTAATCAGCCACCACCTAGGAGGAGGTTCCAGTCTTATACACCTAACACCTGGGCTGCAGACGGTAAGCCTATCTGTCGCCAGTGTGGCCGCACTGGACATATTGCCAGGTTCTGTAGACCCCCATCTGAGTCCCATGCTGATTTAAACTAGTTTGTCCTGCTACTGAGGTCCAAGTAGCAGGGAATTTGGGTGAGGCAAGACAAAGGGCCGTATTTGTGGGTGACTGCCCTAAGGTTGAGGTTAAAGTAAATGGTGTGCTCCTAATTGGACTGATTGATACCGGTTCACAAGTGACATTAATGCGACAGAGTATATTTGACGAACACTATCCAGCAGATGCCTTATCACATGGTGCAACCCCTAACAAATTGACACTTAGAGCGGCTAATGGGTTATCCATCCCTTATCAAGGCTATGTGGTGATGGACTTTGAGATAGGAGGTGCTAATATCTCAGGGAGGGGGGTTGTTATTGTAGCCGATCACTGTCTAACTGCCCCATTACTGATTGGTATGAATGTTATTACAACCTGTTGGCATGACCTACTTGCTCGACCAGAGGGTCTGAAGACTGTTTTCCAGGATCAGGGGACAAGGAAAGCGTGGACGGGTGCATTTGCTGTATGCCAGAGAACAGCTGTAGTTGATGGAGAAGATGGATACATGGGGTTTGTGCGTCCAGCAAGTCGCAAGGGCCTAACCGTTCCAGCCAGAAGTGAGGTGGTGGTTTGGGGCCGTGCGCGGATGGGTCCGAAGGGACAGGACTACTGTGGCCTGATTGAAGCACTGCCTGAGCTGGGGCCTTTCTCTGTGGCGAAGACTGTTGCAATTGTCAGACATGGCCAACTTCCTATTCGCATCCAGAATATGACCTCTTGCCCTGTTTTTATAGGCCGCTACCAGAAGCTGGCGAAGGTGTTTCGTGTTGACCATGCTGACGTCCATGGCCAGACAGATCTAAGCCTGACTGTGCAGGATGATGGAACAGTCGCAGTAGATATTGTGGAGGCTGGAGAGGGAGAGCAAGTGGAACCACCTGTCGGGATGCTAAGAGATTTGCAAGGTAGAGATGACTTGACCGAACGACAGAAGCAAGATTTTGAAGTTCTCCTACAAAGGTGGGTCAGGGTGTTTGCCCTCCATGAGGAGGATTTCGGGCATACTGATGCGGTGCAACATCAAATCCACACCAATGACACACCCCCAGTAAGAGAAAAATATCGCCCCTTACCACCCATGATGTATCAAGAAATGCGCACCCTACTAGCCGATATGTTGGAAAAGAAGGTTATTCAGCCTAGTTCCAGCCCTTGGGCTGCACCTATTGTGATGGTTCGCAAGAAAGATGGCAGTTGGCGCTTTTGCGTTGACTATCGCAAGTTGAACTCCCTGACTTATAAAGATGCCTTTCCACTCCCCCGTATAGAGGAGACCCTAACCTCCCTGACCCAAGCTTCCTGGTTTACCACGCTTGACTTAGCCAGTGGTTATTGGCAAGTTGGGGTCGACCCTCGAGACCGACCCAAGACCGCCTTCACCACCCCACTAGGCCTATACGAGTTTCAGAGGATGCCATTTGGCCTTTGCAATGCGCCAGCGACGTTCCAGCGGCTTATGCAGCAGTGCTTGAGTGGCCAAATTGCTGATTCTGTACTTGTTTATTTGGATGATATCATTGTCTATTCTCCAGACTTTTCCTCCCATCTGTGCCACTTGGAGGCTGTCTTTGAGCGACTGCAACATCATGGACTAAAGCTGAGAGTGGATAAGTGCCAGCTGCTGCAGCGGGAAGTAAGGTTCCTGGGTCATGTGGTCACTGGAGAGGGAGTAAAACCAGACCCTACGAAGGTCACTGCTGTAACCGAATGGCCGGTTCCAACCACAATTAAGGAGGTACGTGCTTTCCTGGGCTTAGCAGGTTACTATCGTCGCTTTCTTGTCAACTTTGCAATGGTAGCACGCCCCTTGAATGCCCTCTTAAGCGGAGCCCCTGCAGATAAGAGAACAGGATCTCGGCAGATCTCTTGGTCGGATGAGTGTCAACAAGCTTTCGATCAACTGAAAACTGCTTTGACTCGGGCCCCAATCTTGGCTTATGCTAATTATGCAGAACCTTTTGTGTTGTACACCGATGCAAGCCATGCTGGCTTGGGAGCTGTCTTAGCTCAGCTACAGGATGGGCGTGAGCGAGTTGTGGCCTATGCTAGTAGGAGCCTGCATCCTAGTGAGAAAAATGATGCCAATTATAGCTCCTTTAAATTGGAATTGCTAGCGTTAAAGTGGGCCATCGTAGAAAAATTTAAAGACTACCTGATGGGGGCTAAAGTGATTGTTTATACTGACAATAACCCTGTAGCTCACTTACAGACCGCTCGCCTGGGGGCCACGGAACAACGGTGGGTAGCTCAACTGGCTGCCTTTGACTACCAGGTGAGGTATCGTTCTGGTAAGGAAAACGCTAATGCGGATGCCCTGTCCCGAGTACCTGTTGAAACCCCTGTAGACACTGATGTGATTAATGTGGTGACTGTGGCGGACGTACAATCGACAGAAGGCCAGTCGATGGACGGCTGGCGAGCCAGGCAGCTTCAGGACAAGGATCTGGAACAAGTGCGGAGGTATGTGGAAAGTGGGAAGTTTCCAGTGGGACAGGAGTGGAGAGTTGCTTCGTTCGGGGTGAAACGGCTGTTGCAACAAAGGACCAGACTGGTGATGAGGGATGGGGTTCTGTGTCGTCGGATTACTGACTTTAATACTCATGAAGCTCG